TCTCATCTGTCCTCTCCTCTGTGGCATTTTCCACCAGGTGCTGCATGCTTCAAGAGAGAGCTGATGTGAAGTTAAGGCTATCTACATTTTTAACCCTCCCGTGGGTTTAGAAGACGGAAGAAGATGTTGCATTTTCACAGACAGCAGAAGAGAAAATTAGCAAAGGAAGGAATGAAGCGGCAGTAGATTGATCTAAAAAAAAGGAGGAGGAAAAGAAGGAGAGAGATTTGTACAGAAGAAGAGAGCATACAAAGGTTAAACGGTTACTTAGTTTGACTAGCAAAAAGCAAAGAAAGTTGAGCCACGGAGAAAACATGCATAAGAATTCAACTATGAACTCGTGTCTGAAACACTTCCTTCTGCTTTCCCCTTCTGCACAAGACAGACACAGAGAAAGAACACACAATCCAGGCCTATCATAAAAGGTTGACACCAAGATACCCAAAACTGCCCTCAGGGCATGATGTTTGCTTTCCCAAGGGATGATGCACAGGAGCAAGGTTCTTTAAAGAGATTTTTTTTTTTTTTTAAAGGAGATATTTGCCAGGACTAATTAGCCCTCAGCAGCCTGTCTTTTGGAGATACAGGGCACCTGTTCAGCTTGCTTTGGTGCTGCTATTTGGAATTTAAGACATCTAGCTGGGGAACAAATTAACCCCTGGAAAAAAAACATTCAGTGTTTTTGGCAGAAACTGGCTGAAACGGCCACTGCAGCTGACCTGGTGTTAAATTCCAGGGTCAGCAATAGATTCGCTCTCTGTCTCCGTTCTGCCTTCTAACCTTCCACTAAAATTAACCAAGAAAAAAATCCAACTGGACATTGAGCCTTGTTAGAAACCAGCGTCCTGAGTTCTTTGTTGAACCTGGGTCTAGATGCTTATTTTGATCTCTCTAGATACCCTCTAAGTAGTATGTGATTGCATTTTCCCCTGCAGCAGATTCCATCAGTCACCAGCGGATGCCAGCTCTACAGAGCCTGACCTTCTTGAATAGTTGTCTAAAGGCAGGAGTAAAGCACTCGATGACTTTACAGGTGTTTAAACTGGGTTCCTGCTGCTACACACAACCACTAACTCAGAAAGCTGAAAGAGAATAGCCATTGCTCTTTAGTATATTTGAACTATATCTCCAGAATGGCCAGCAGCCTACTTGTGTTAGGCTGTTCTGGCATTCTCACATCTCTCTCATTTTAATGATTTTGCAAATGAACGAACAGGAAGATTTGCATCTGCACATCGAAGAGAAGTCTTTTCAGGCATAACCAGGGTTGGAATGAACTTACACAGATGTGTTCTAGCAAACCCAACCTGTTACTCTTTAACCCTTGGTCATCAGCACCTAGCAAATATTTACCCCGTCGAAATTACAGTGCAAAGGTTTCTGCTGAGAGAAGCAAAGAGAAAAGATGTCAACAGGATAGAAATGCAAGTGAAGGGAACAGCTACACACAGTAGCAGTTTGTTTTAAAAAAAGTTTTGAAAATACTGTACACTACTTGTCAATATTTTCCAAGCCCTTTGCATTATCCAAGCTTTTCCAGTCATTTCTCTTCAGTAAATCTGAAGTATTATGTTGGACACACACTTGTAGGTCCCTTACATAGTAGCATCAATGAAACTGCAGCTCCCCAGATGAATGTTACATTGCCCATCCACCCCTGAACACGTATAAGGTACCAGGAAACATTCATCCCACTAGAGAGCACAGGACTCGGAAACATTACACTGATGCAGAGGACAGGCTACGTTATAAGGAAATGTACACTCATCGCAGCCACTTCATCACCTCCACTTAATATCCAACTGCTAATACCAAAACCAGAGAGGTCTGGAAGCTTTTTACCATCTTCAGGGAAGAGTCAGCAAGCCAAGTATCCTTTTAAATAACAACTGCAAATCATCAAGACACTAAGGGAGAACACATTTAGTTGTATACGGTGCCTCTGAATTTATTTACAGAGGAGATCAATAAACCTTTTTCTCTCTTACAGATTGTTTATACTTAGAGCCAGTCTGAGCATTATTGTTAACTCATATACAAGACATCTCCCATGTGAGCTGAAGGAGCTCCACTGAAGTTACTGAAGATTTGCTGATTTACACCAGCCTAGGATCCAGCCTGTAACTTTCTAACAGCAAAATGTAAAGAAAATAACAGTATTCGCTGCCACAGCAATAGATTACACAGCACTACAGTACAATCAAGAACTTACTCATTTAAGCATTAAAGTCTTCAGCGTTTTTCTGTTCTCTCACCTTCAGCCTCTCCCACTCAAAATATTAATGTTATGCGCATTTAGTGTTTTCACTTCTTTGTACATTTGGATAGTACTCACCTCTTCTTTGCCACTGTCTGGCACCCTGCAATAGACATCTCCGGTGGATGGATTATAGGAGTCTATATAGGAGGAACAAGTAACAAATTTGCCACCTATAAAGTTTTCCAGCACTAAGAGAGCCTTTGAGTGAGCCATCGTTAGCCACTTGCTTCATCTGTGATTTATTTCTACGAGGCATCCATTTAGATTAGTAGGTCTGTATGTATTTTCACAGCGAGGCTGAACTCCTCCCCCTCTCTCTCTGTCTTCCCTGCACCGCTTGCTCACAAGTGGGAACGAACCCTGGTAACAACAGCAGGAAAGAGGAAAGGGGGAAAAATTACTATTTCTGTGACACTTGGTTCTTTTCTAGGAGTTGAAGCAGGAAGGCAGGATCAGCTTAGTTGCTAGAAAACAGCCCCTCTCTGTCTATAGGAAATAAAGTACTGAAGAAGGGGAGAAAAAGAATGGTTTGACAGGGAAATTTCTCCCTATACCAGTTTTTCAAGCTACAGTCTGAAGACATTTTACAACAACTTTACAAAATAATTTAAGACCCAAACACCTAGCCAGGGACCTGCTCCTTACCGTCAGCAGATACAGAGAAAAGACACTGGGACTAGCATGTCTGCACCTCATGCTCACTCCTTTGTCATAGAATCATAGAATAGTTTGGGTTGGAAGGGACCTTTAAAGCCATCATCAATACTTTTCCTTGTAACCCCAAAAACAATGCTTCTGCCAAAGCAAAAGACTTTAAACATAAGAAACTCTTTTTTCCACCAATATCCCCAAACATCAAACAATACAAGCAGCCGAGTGGCCCTTCAATTCAAAACAGTTGAGAAGCACAATCCTACCTGGTACGCTTTGTTGTATGTTGTCAGAAATTCAGTTTTTAAAAAAGAAGCAAGACACCGGCTTTCATGCTTTCCCTTCCATAGGTATTCCAGTGGAAGCCACCTTACTGTAGAGAAGCCTGTTACACATAATTAGTTTTTTCTTTAACTTCCAAAGAACCCGAACTGCCTGATAAGAGCTATGTAAAAGACATTTTTCTCCAAGAGAGAATGCTTATTATCAAATTGCTCCAAGATTGCACGCCACCTCCTTGCACTCCAGAGATACTCAGAACACTACATCCGTATTGGAGAGCAGTATGTTGTCACCAGGAGGTTGTGAATATCTCAATCAGCAGTTCAGAAAGTTTTTGCACCCTAGACCACACTGCCAAGCCATCAAATTTCTTGTGGATCAACATGCAAACATATTTTGATCGAATAAAGGTGATATGTTTTTGTTGCACAACAACAGATCATTTATGCATCAACCAACTGGTGCCTCTGGGCAGAGTTCAAATCAGTGCTGAAAGGTAGTGCAGTCATGTTGAAACTGGATTAGGTAATACCTCTGGCTCTCCCAAGCTACAAACTGGGAAAGCATGCAGTAGCTTTTCTGTCATCACAGAATACTGAGTCTCAAAATTCAATGCAACCATGTCTGAGAAGGGTTACCAGAGGTTCATCCCATACCACACTTCCTTGTCCACAAACAGCAAGGAATTTACTGAAGTCTTCAAACTGAAGCCACATTCTTCTGCCTGTAGCACTGCAGCTGTCCTGACTTAAAAGCAACCTAAACATTTTCAAGGTTTGAAGGCAAGTTCAAGTGGAACCAGTTCAACACAGGAGCTTGGCAGTACAAATCTCTGGAATCCAAGAAATGCACTGAAACCTTCACAGCTGGCATGTTGAAACTGCTAAGTATTTAAATGCAATTTCTGGACTATAAAAAGACATAACAAATAGTGCTAATTCATAAGCTTCAGTTTTGGCAATAACAGTTTTCAGATATTTCAGATTAATAAGATTCTACAAAAGTCATTTCCACATAAAGCATTGCTGATACTTCTACAAACGTGCATGCAGTCAACAGTACAATTCATCTATGTGGTCAAGTGCAGGTACCTGCTGAATTGGGGCTAAAGCATATAACTGCAAAAGAAGTTACCTACCAAAAAAGGCGTGTGGGAAGAGTAGGTATGAACCGTACATGACTTTGAACTAAATAACGCTCATAGTCTTTTTGTGTTCTTCACTACACAGGGCACAGCTTTACTTCAGTTAACCCCAGTGACTGACGCTCTGGACCAAGTACTTTTGTGCCTTCCCCACACTACCAACTATGGTCAAAGTAGAGTTGTCTCCACCCCACACTCATGTACAGGTCCTGAAATACCTCAGCTCCTCTCACACTTCCTATTGAAAAAAAAAAAATCTTCCAAGCTGTAGTAAAGTGTGTCTGTCCTGAGCTTATGCTGGAGGTGGCAGAAGGACCCTCTTTTCAGCTGGGAGGTTTCGCCTGCCCTGTTACTGAAAAGCGGGAAGGAGTTACAGGCTTGAGTAAGCGCAACAATCTGGCTTTAGCATATATTCCAAGATTAAACTGCCAGCTTTTGTTCAAAAGAGCACTAAGTCTGGATGAAAGAGATGTGTATGCACAGTAGCTGCACTGAGTAATGTGAGAAAAACTGAAATTATTTCCACAGAAAGACAAGACGCATGCCAGTTTCGCATTTTAACTCATAAGTTTACCCTGAAACTTCTGAGTTATGGAAAGTAAAGAATGATTTAACACAATTTAGAAGTGTTTAAACAACAGAAGATGAGGGAGACAAAAATTATGCTCAGACAAAGTTATTTTATTATTCTTACAGTTTAAAAAATAAAATTAACCAATGTTGGCACAGCTTCCACTACACAGCAAAGGAAAACTTTTTTTAAATAAATTTTGGGACAGGGAAAACAATCCCAGGATAATACTACATGCCATTCTCTTGAAACCAAAGTAAATAGTTCTTTCCTTCCCCTGAATATGCATTCAACTCAAACCTAAAAATATATTAGACCAATAAAGTTACTTTACTGAATTAATGTGCAGCAAAAAAGCAAATCAAAGAAAATATGTAAACAATTTTATGTCTGGAAGTAAGGAGTTTGTTTCATGATGATTCATCATCTTTCTCTAATCCAACTTTCTAAGATTTTTCCATCAAGTTCTCTAAGGGCTAAATTCCACATGGAGAAACACATGAGATTCTTGAGATCGAGAAGTGCAATATTAGCAGTTCCTTGTCAGTTGGCATCTTGTTCTGCAGTGGGAGAGACTGATGAAGGGCTCCCCAGACGTCTCACACGATTTAACTCATCATCTCCCCAATTAATTGCACTTGTTCCTTCAACTGAAGTAACTGGATTCTTAAACAGAAGTTTGGATATCTGATTGCATTTTGGTTGGACGGTGGAAGTTCTGGCACCACTGTCATTCTTTAATCTAAAAATATAAGCAAATAGAAAAAACCCCTATGGTGAAAAATGAAGTACTAAATGTAAAACGATCACAGCTTTTTTCAACATGATATAGTTAGCTGTGGAAAAAATAATTTCTTTTGCTCTGAAGTTCTCTGGAACACGATCACAAGTACTGAAATAGTAATTCCCACGTAACAGTCAAAGATTTATTTAGTCCCCAATTCTACAAACATCGGGCATCATCACGCTCTAGTTCCAAGTTTTGACGTTAAATGACCCAGCTTTAAGTCTCAGTACCAGAACTTGGTTAGTGTGACTAAATTACTCTCCCTCAGGCCTAGAATTAGAACTTAAATTCTAATCCAAAAATCATAGCAAGGTTTTTTAAAGTGACAGATAGAGGGACATTCGTATTTTTTGCTCCTAATAGAAGGCGAAACGTTTATACTTAGCCCCACAGCCTTTGCTTCCTCTCACTTACTCAGAATCAGAAAATGTCTATAGGCATCGGTAAGAATCAAACGTACAATTGTCTGTAATGCTAGCAGAAAAAGATCTGAGACCCAAACTAGCCACAGTAAAAATGGCCAACACTTCTTATTTACAAACTACTTTCGGTATATTTATACAGGCAATTAGATTTCAGAAAGACTGATGTATGTTAAAGTAGTGAAGGGTTCTTTTGTAACTCGAGAGAGGGGGAAAAATGCACAACATTCAAAAATTCTGAATAGAGTAATTTTCGCTCCTAATAAACTGAACAGAACCACGACAAGTTTTCCTCACATCTTGCTCGAGCACTGTCTCTTTTTCAGCAGAATAAATTCACTTTTTAGACCAAAGGGTGTAAAACAGGGCTTAACCATAAAAACTAAATGCTATGTGAAAGTTAACACTGTTCCTTTACGGTATAGGAAGTCTGTTACAAAAATGCCATACCTCTGTGACAACTCCTGCAGCAATAGTGGAACCACTGTAACGTAACATAAACCTCCCAAGCTCTTTAAAATCTTTATACAACTCTAGAGCAACAGGTCTTTGAGTTTGTAGTTCTATTAAAGCATTCTGTCCTTTAGTCAAGAACCTGCAGGTAATTAAGCAGAAAACTCTATTATAAATATATGCATGCATAAATGAAAAAGAGAACAGTGAGTAAATGGAAAAAAATCAACTTAAAAAGCCAAAAGTATAATGATCAAACTTGATTTCAAGTACAACCCAAGCCACCAGACTGAAAACTCATTTGCTTGGAGCATATCTTTCAAAAAGGCATCTGAGTTTTCTTTAAAAACTTCTAGAGAAGGGCATCCACCACAACATTTAGCAAATTGTTTTGAAGTTAATTATCCCATTAATACCTGTTTTTTTCATGTCTAGTAGAAATCAAGTCTTGTTTCAAACCCAACGACTACAGAGCCAATTCATTGCTCTGTAGAAGTCATGATTTTTCTTCCCATTACCTTTCAGCAACAGTTTCAGCCATGCAATTTCTGGAAGAGGATTATTCTGATAATAAGGTATGTATCAAATAGCATTTCTACCCAAACACAGCTTTAAATAGAAGGATGTTCTCATAGTTTAACTTGTATGGAAAGACTACCTAAATCTCTTTTTCTCTGACCCACTGTCTAGTCGAGTTTATTTTAGACAGTAACCCATCTCCAGAATTATACCAAGGATCCCATGCTATTACAGGAAGAAAAGAGATAATGTAAAAAACCAAACCAAAACAAATCCTTTAAGTGTGGGGCTGGTGATCTAGGATTCACTCCCAATTCCGCAAGCGACCGTAGGCAAGTAATTTTACTCCTCAGGTGCTCAGCATTTATCAAGTGAGCAAGAGGTTTTTCACTTTGTAAAGCACTCTGAAATCTAAACATGAAACCAACTAATATAAACACATTATTGCTTCATAATAGAACCTGCTTGATATACTGTATATTAATCAAAAATCAGCTCATTGCTTGAGTGATTATTAACTATTCAAAACACTTACTTAGGTTTTTTCTTTGTCACTTCACCAGTGCTTTTGTGCAGGACACTCAACAGTCTTCTAATAGTAGCAGGTTCACTTACGGTTTGATAGTGTAAAAGCACCTAAAAATATTTTTTTCAGTTATTAAACATTCTACAGTAATCAGAAATCAGAGGTGTTAATACTTGAAAACATCAACTTATTTTAAGACTGACTTTTTAAACAAATGCTTACAAAACTTCTCCCACAGGAGTCTCTGCCTTACATTCAGTAACTGTTCCTAGTTCGTAAACTTTGTGATCTCTACAGATATGACACAAAGGTCATGTATTAATTCATCATAAATACATTTTTCATTCTTAAGTGTTTTGCTTTTGCCACTTCAGTGCAGTTCTGTAGCATGAACTGATGTTTTATTTGTTTGAAAAGGTATCTTACAACTAAGTGCCTCATTATACTCCTACAAGGCACGAGCTTTCTGAAGGACAGCCTAGCCTGACTGTGGTGGAACTCATGTTCTCTGAAATGGTTCAGCTATGTATTAAAAGCCAGTAAGAATATGCATAAGAGCTCCTTGCATCCTCTTCAAATTACAGCAGAATCTGTTTCCTCTGGAGGGACGGAACCACTTCTGGACACTAAACGCCTCTCATATTCAGAGGGATCGAATATGGAGAGGAAAAGCCCTGAGCAACCTATAATGAACACAGGAACTTTCACAGAGACTTACAGGAAATCCTTTAGTGATTGGAACCTCAATATTGAAGATGAGAACCCGAGCTCTGAAACGAGTGCAAACTTTAATGGGTTCCTTGGGATCACAAAATACACAGCCAACACTACAAGAGAGGAGAACAAAAGAAACTGATACATATCTTGACATACAAATGTTAATCACTGCACTGGAAAAAGATAAATATGTAAGACGAGCAAAGCAAAGACAACACCACTTTGTTGTGTGTGTGTGTATATATATAATATAACCAGGGGGGATCGGGTGTAAATCAGGAACACTGTATTAAAGCCTGTAATGAAATTAATTCCTAGACAATGTCTACAGTATTTTGTGGGTATGCATGAAGAGGTCTGTCTAGTTCAGTGAACAATTACGTCCATTGCTAATCAGTTTCTAAAAATGTCACTGTTTCCTGTGCGTAGGTACTTTGAAGAATTAGACTTTCATTCAGAGATTAATTGTTCCAGATCAATAGCATAAAATACTGCAGGGTGCCCAAAATTGCAGTGCTGCTCCCTGTAACTCAACTATTTTGTGGACAAAGGAACATCGTGATCAGGACTCTCAAAACTTAAGCTTTCAGCAGCATTCCTTTCCAAAAAACTCTACATGGAGTCACAAGAAAGCTGCTGCTCGTTGCAAGTGAATAAGGTAGACTAGACACAGCTTTTTCACAGTGGCTAGTTTTAGCCATCTAAAATGAAAGGAAAATTAATCCAGAAAAACATGACTGAAGAGAAAAAACAGCATGATTAAACGTATACATCAAATGTAATCAAATTCCATCGATATCAAGAGGACTTAAAAGCTTCGTACCTTTTCTTGACAAATCTAACATATCTCCAAAAGATGAATGACATCAAGGTAACGAATTGACTCAAGCCTTCATTCAACAAGTAGAACAAGACTTCCCCCGTCCCATTTACCACAGAGAATCACACCCCATTATGAAACAGCAATACAGAAAAGCCTGTACTTTTCCCTTAAAAGCAGAGCATAAATTTGGAAAACTATCAATGCAAGGAGCTCTTCAAACAGTAGCTGGAAAGCTTGCCATCTGAAGTCCAACTGGAATGTAAAAAAGCTGAACAAATTATGGATCCAGTTTTCTAGCCTGAACAACAACTGACACTTAATAAAAGCTTGAGGCTAACACTTAGCATGAAACCTATAGACTGAAATAGACACAAGGAGATTAGCTGCATCTCACTGAATGTATCAGACCCCCCAAAAAAGGGTCAGCAAAACATTTACCAAAACAAATGTTACAAGCAGCTACATGTGTTGAAGAAACAGTTTCCATCAATTCCACTTGTCCAGATTTATTTATTGGTACACAATGGCAGTTGTTTGGATGTGTTTTGTTAGAATGATTTATGATTCGATAAGCTCTTAAAAAAAAAAAATCTTCTGTTTTATTTAGCAATAAGGATTTACTTAATTCAGCAATTAAAATGTCCAAGGACAAGTCTTAAGGAAAAAGGCTTTGAAGGTCACCAGTGTCAGCACTAGGGCGAAGTATGAAAACTAACAGTATTCTTCTGAGGTTGCCGTTGTACATGTAGCAGATGTTTCCAACGTTTGTACATGCAAGCCAGGTGATATGCATCACTTCGGTTTTAAATATCCTGGTAGCCACATCATTCTTCAAGTAAACCGCTGATTGTTAAGTGTAATAGTTATAAAGCTTTTCATTAAAAACAAACCGTTACTTAGACTGAAACCCAGTTTTGCTCACTTGATTTTGATGATATCCATGCCGGTCAAAGTGAGACTAACGTGATCTCCTGCTGCAGCCCAATCAACTGGTTCATCATGCAGTACGATTCCTGGAAATGAGTAAGAACAGAACCTCACAGTGAAGTACCTAGGTTCTGAGCTACAAACAAACAGCTCTGTTTGGGCCATTTGTGCTTCATCAACCATTACTCATCAATTTTCAGTATGAATGGGTTGAGAGTAAAAGCTTTTTAACTGAGAAGACTGAGGAAGCTTTTTTTCCCCCTTGGTGAGGACTCACTAGTCTCTCACCCCACCCTGCACAATAACATGGCTTTATTTAAGCCAGAGGAGGGGACCTGGCACTTGTCACACAGCGCAGATGACGCAGTCCTGAAAATGCCGTAGTACTAACATCTCCATATCTGCCCCACCCATCCTTTGAGGCACACGCACACCCTAGACCGCATCTTTCATATACTTTAATGGTACTATGTCAACTTTCATTTACCTTAAGTGGGTTTGCTGACTCTTTCATAAAAAAGCGTAACTGATGCCTTTCGTTCACAACATCGCGTCTATTAGAAAGCATCTTTAAAAGTAATTTTATTCTGATTTTGATGTATTTTAATCGCTTTAAAAGACAACCTGGCTGGTAGGTGAGGATAAAACTAACTGCTCCTGACTTAACGTTCTGAGGTTTCTGGTAGACACCAAGAAGGAAAGAAAAAAACCCCACTTTTTATAAATACTGCGTACATTTATAGGATCTAGTTCTATTTTGCCACAGATTGTATTTATTGATTTGCAAATCTGTTCCCAAAACCACTTGTCAAAATCATGCCAGAAAGCGTCATTCAACTACAAGCATGTTAAGTACTGTTTTTTAAGCAGTGTTGATAATTATTTCACATATACGTGTCATTCTCACAGAGTAAGTGAAACTCAGCCTCTTGAAATGAAAAACTGGAATCCTCATGTGCACACTACCTTCAGTAAATATTCTGTGATAAATTATCTCTTCTTTACATTAAATATAAATAATACATGCTTAATGAACTAATACCCCCAACCTTCACCTGCATTTCAGCCATGAGAGGCAGTACAAAAGAAAAGTCATAGAATTGTACCATTGGGGATACTCAGACAAAATACATCTTTTTCCATGCTACTTCCTCCACTCCCAAAACAGAGGAGTGACTACAGTGCTCTGATACCCATGTTCATCCACGTTATTGTAACATTCCTGTGCACGCAAACAATGTGCATACAACTGTATAAACAGGCACATTGAAGAGCTTCCCAAATTAGCACTGAACAAGCTGGTTCTGGAATAGAACAGGACAGTCGAACCAACACATTGCTGAATTCAGGCTAAACGGTTAGATACAGAAACCTATTCATTTATTCTGAGGGCTTAATTTTTTACTCATTGTCAATGTAGGAAAATCATAATTTTATCTTTCTGTTTGCATATAAAACAAAAAAAACTCTGCAGTACAAAGACAGCAAGCTTAATCCGGAAACAGCTAAACATTTAGTGCCTTGACTTAGCTATTCCTCTTTTCAGAAATCAAATGTATTGAAATTTAAATCCAATTTTCTTCTCTTTTGTAGTTGCTCAGGACAATTATATCTTGAAAGTTTGTATATTATGAAAGGATCAGTGACAAATCTCATTAACATCAAACAGCAGAGACTTAATTCTCAAGCTTTTTCACATCTAATTCATAAGATTAATTTCTAAAGGTTGTTCAACATCCTCACACTTCCCAACAGCAGTAACACTCCACAGCAAAGCTGAATATTAATGATTCCTATACTACATATTTTTATAAAATTGCTGGAACTCAAGATGTTTTTACAGGTTCTTCATAAAGCAGTGTCAAAAGTCATGAGGCTGTAACATGTGGAATATCTGATATGGTAAAAAAAGGTAAAAAAAAAAACACCATGCAAGATTTCACATACTCTTCATAGACTTATTTATACAGACACAGTCACATCTAAAGAAATTCGTTTTATGCTTTCACATTTTATGTTTGACAGTTAGTATCAGTTTGACAGTCTGTTACCATTTCAGTAACTGCTTCTAGCCCAGTATTGACCTGAAAGTAAACACGCTTCTGAAGACTGTACCTTTTGCAGTGCAAGTTTCATTGGGAGGCATTGCCAGAAGTCGTTCTCCAACTTGAATATAGCCTGCTTCTATTTTACCAGTCACACAAAATCCTGATCCTTGGTCTGTAATAAACACAGTAATAATTTTAAAAAACTTCATAATAAGGTCAGTTTCCCATCACAAGTTAGCCCTTCAGCAATGCATAGATAAGTTTTTAATATAACAAAGAGAGGGTTTTTTCCCCCCCAGTAGAGTGTTCAGTACTTGCAAGTTAGCCAGCTGTGCATCATTATGAAAATGAAACATTAAATTCAAAACCTCTAGATCTTATGTTTTTCAGAACTAAGGGAGAAATATTCTTCTTTAAACAAATGTAGGTACATGAAGAAATATTTTTTTAGTTTTTCAATATTAGATTAAGCCCCTTAATTTCTAGCAATTTTATTTAATTCAGCACTTTCTAACTACAATTAGATAGAAAAACATACCACAGACCTCTCATAAAAATTCTCATGCATACGGGTGCAAATTCCTATGCCATTTACTGTTTAACTGAGTCAGAATCCTACATGCTTTGCCTACATATTACTTTTACTCCTGGAAAGTTAAAGATTGATTTAGTCCCATTTAATATGAGGAGCTATTATAATTGTGGATGACTTAAGTATTTCTGATTAAAAGATCTGCAAAGGTTTCTTTCTTCAATGTCCTAATGCTCTGTTCATTATTTGAGTATGTCACTTATTTTCAATACATGTGCTACATGTGCACATTTATGCACATACACCTTAAGAAATGCCTCATCTCTTTAGCATGTGTTTGCAGGTGTGTTTAAAAAGAATCCTCTGAAGTGATTCTACGATGACATTTTCAGTATCCATACAAACAACAAATATACCTTTTGCTGAACATCAGTATTCAGTGATAAGCAAGAATCTTAGTATTTTGTGTGTCACATTAGATTAAAAACTTAATTTAAAGCTGAATTCAAAAGAGCAAATTGACCTCAAATCCTGAGGTCACATACTACCAACTTGCTCTTTTGCGTTCATCACCATTATTGATGAATGCTTCCATCTATCTAGCTGGAAAAATATTACCAGTATACCTGCAAGCTAATTTTCCTCTATTCATTCCAGCAAATCAGATGAATGCAGTCAATTAACAGATGACATCGGATGTCAAAAGAACAGAAAACTGGAGACGCAGATACTTGCTAGAAAAAGAATCCCCAAGTCATGGTACAAATACCACCTCAATATGGTACACAAAAGAACCTGAAACTGGCTCTGCAAGCACTTGTAGGCACCCAGAAACACAAACTGGTTCCAGGTTCTCAACCTCTCCCAAGCACAATCAAGAACCATTTCTTTTTTTTTTTTTTCCACATCATCACCAGCTCTGGCTTGGTAAACCAGTGTGGTGTTTGAAGCTTCGTCCTCTCCCATGCTGATTGCTTCCTGCAAAGTGTCAAGTTCCTTCAGCTCCCCATGAAATCCACGCAAGTACAAAATGGATAGTGGGGGACAGAATCAGGGCATAAAAAATGGCCTGATTTCTGTGTATCGTGGTACTCGGGTTCTGCCAGGACATGTTCTTTGTCCTCAGGATTTGGCTGCTGGACAAGGCTTTTCTAAAGTCAGGTCAAGTCATACCCTAGACAGCATCATAATATGGTAAGTGGGGACTGATGCAGCGGTGAAGGAATTTACAGGGATCTCGTGGATCAGGAGACAGTTTGCCTGGAGAGAATATTAAGAGGGGTATGGAGGACAACAGCTAAAATCAGGCTGAGGTAGATGAATCATATGTGTGGGTAACCTTAAGAAAAAAAGGGGTTTTCCAAACTACGTAAGAGTACACTCAACACTCTCACTTTTAACACACTTCCATGGACAGCTCCTCCTGAGCATGCACAGGCACTGGAATAGAGCTGAGAACAACTGTTGCTTCATGTACTCGTACCTGCAGCTACTTCCTCTGCTGACATCCGAGTTAATTAAGTTTTGAGATCACAAGGTAAGAAAAAAATAGCCTAAAAAACACCTAAAAGGCCACATTTAGTGATAAACCCTGTATATGTAAATTGAGTTCATTCCAAAGCCATTATTTTTTTTGCATACTTTAGCAAAAAAATCAGACTTTTCCACAGAACAGATTTAGTCAAAATTGCTCATTTTGTGAAACTTAGCTCAACACAAAAATTATTATTGCAACAAAAAAGTTCTGATAATATTTTGAAAGATCTCAATCAACAATCCTAACACACTTTCCCACAGCTCACAAAATTAGAAAAGAAATAAATAAATACAGCGATGGCCTAGATGACAAAAACAGTGGTAACACACTAGGGTAAATTCTCATGCAAAGGTTCAATACCCATCGTTATGGCTTCAGTATCTTAAGTCAGCTAACTCAGGGCACATACAGCATCAAGTGCTTTCTCAAAGACGCACATGAAAATTGCACAAAACTGATTTTTCCAATTACAATCAATATTTTGATCTGGCTTGTTTGTACTTCCCCTATAAAGACCCTATATATAAAGTAAAATTTCTTTTAAAATATGAATTTCAATAAAATATTTACATTTCAAATCATGCTGTCATTTAGTTTGCAACATTTCTCAAGGGACCTACGGAACATTTCAAATGGGATGAGTGTTACAAACCTTATTTCTTCTAAATTACCTGTAAATGTATTTAACTGAAAAAAATATCAAGTTTACCAGGAAAACCTTAAGGGCTCAAGGAAGTCTATTTTCTCCAAACAACGGGAATAAGAACTGGTTATAGTTTCTTGCTGTCCGTACCTCTATTAGTGCTAGGGAATAGCTACCTGCCTTTCATTAAATCCTCGGCTGGTTATTACAGTCTCACCACCACCTTCTTTTTCCAACTCACCCCCCCAAATTTTTACAGGAAAATGAAGGAATTTATCATTATTTACAGCTACAACAATGAAAATAAAAGGAAGAAGTCAAACTTTTTTAAAATCTAGGATTAGGATGTAAAAGAGCCTACAGTCACGCTCGTAAAAAGTTTGAGAAACATTCAATTAGGCAACAAGAACCAGTTTGGGAAAGAGAAACTCCCAAATTCTGTCCCACAGAACCATCAACTCATTACATAGCCAATTAGCTGGTCATGCAGATGTTCCTCCTCAATTTCTTTTCCAGTGTGTTTCTCCATCAGCGGTACTATCTAAAATTCGACAAAGAACAGTGCTTGAAAACTTACTTTTCCTGTTCAAGGCTACTGATACACATAAAGCTCCTACTTTAAGTCTTATTTTTACATCATTTTTCAACACTTGTGTTAAATATCGGTGAAATGATAGTGAAAATATTATAAAAACAACCAACCTTTAAAAACATCAGCAACACACAACCTAAATGGTTTATCCACTGATCTCTGTGGTGGCTTGAAAGAATCTGCAAATAAATTGATAAGACCTTTTAGAACTTCTGTATTCAATAACTCTCTCAACTTCTCACTTAGGGATAAATCAACGATATTGCATTCCAAAGACTTTGTCACACATTTCCCCCAAAAATAAAAGTTTTGACATACACAGGACTAAGATATATTAGTTTTTAAATGAGGAAAATTGTGCTCACCAATTTGCTCTAACAAACACTTTCCTTTATACCACTGCGTGAGGTCACTTGACTGACCCCTTGTGACCAGATTTTCACCACCAAGGCCACTCGTTGGGATATAAGCCACATCTGATTCCTAATTAAGAAAACAACCAGAAGTTAAGCATACATTAATAACAGGATCTTCTAGCAGAAGCAAGAGGTGCATTTTTTCAATGTTACGCATCTAAGCTATGAAAGAACAGTTGGCATGTTCGTATTTCCCCTGGAGAAGGCAGATTACTCGGTGGATCCATTTCCTTTTTGTTTACCTCTTGCCTGATCACAGCGCTCCAACAAAGAGCTGGAGATATTTAAACATGATGATAGCAACATTAACAACTAGAAACTGAGTTCAGGTAACAAACTCCAGCTCCATATCTGACAGGCAAAACTTCATTTTGAATTGCTGGTTAATGCATAGGGATTTCAGGAAGGCTGCAGCCAGCCCAAATGGATAGTAGTTGGAACTGAGGAAATGCGAGAGGAACAGTCAAGAATCGCAAATGCAGAGTGTTCTTATGAGTTCATAATCCACACTGACACCTGCTCTGATATAAAACTCTCCACTGTCATTCATGTAATCCCTGAACATTAAGATAAGCCATCCTTGGTCTGTTCTGCTTTGTAGACAACAACCCCAAGAAACTACAAATGAGGCGAGCACCCCAAAGATTCAACAGATCTCAACAAAGATGATGACAGAAAGAGTATTAAAGAACTGACTAACCTTATCCAAGGCTCAATGTACATCCTACCAATAAGAAAAGGAATCTGCTATACTATGTGCACATAGTAGTAGCAGGAAAGTGACACAAAATAACCTGCCTGTAAGAAAAGCTCATGCTACCCAAATGCCTGAACAAAGAAACAAAGACCTCAGAAATTTACATTACCTTAAAGCCAGCTTGTTTAAGAAATTGGCCGAGCTTACTTATAATTTCCTGAAATCTTTCCTGTTGCCAATTGACCTAAAATAGAAAACAGATTATGATAATAAAATTGTAGATTTTTAACCATGACTCGAACATACAGCTGCATGTCATCAACTCTGTAGTACCAGCAGGTGTTCTTCACACACAGCACCCAATGAATTTATAAATATGAGATTTCCAGACGGATTCATAGTTGAATACATAAGAGCATACACATTAACAATTACTGATAGCAAACAACACACCACTTGACTTGCAAGCCCCTTTAGTTTGATTTGTCCTTGAACAGCACCCTTGTTTTTTTTAAGTTTACACAAAATTCAGGTTCAGCAAGAACATATACAACACAGTAATAACCTACAACACAACTAGTAATATTTAACACGCCTTACAGGTTTAAATAAAGCTCCTGGGGTCTTGACCTGAATGACCACCAAGATGCCCTTGCAGATGCCACTGGGTTAACTGCTTACGTGAGATTTTCACAAGAGGGACCCCTACTCATTTTAGCACCAAAACGATTCTTCTGTGTGCTTTGAAAATATACCCATAAATAAAAAGAAAAGCATTATAAAGTCTAAACACAAGAGACAGAGATGAGTATCAAAGAAAGAAACAATACTTTATCATTAGTTTCACAATATTGATCCTTAAACTTAGGGTTCACAATCCTAGATGGAAGCTCTTCAATTAAATGAAAAAATTAAACATGTACCTGGTCCATTTTATTGACTGCAACAGCTAGCTGTGTCACTCCAAGAGAGCGCACTAATAATCCATGTTCTCGAGTTTGTCCACCCGTCTCAAACCCTGCTTCAAACTCTCCTCTGCTAGCATCCACAACCAAAATAGCCACATCAGCCTAGAGTAAAAAAAAAAATACAATCAAAAGTGGTTAAGAGGTGGAAATAATCTGGGTAAATACGTCAATCAGCAACATTTCACACAAAATGTACTTTACACGGGAGGAATCCTGATGTGCTTCAAATGTAATTTAAACTGCTCAGTCCTATCTGTGTCATGCCCACTTTGGTGAGATATTATGGCATTATGTCATCTCATGTCATAAACCACCATTTTCTGTTAAACACAAGCCAACTCTTGGTTTTGGGAACCTGTCCTCTTCAAACTACCCCCTATGGATGTGCTGCACAGATCTCAACTAAACAAAAGCAGCCCCATGCTCCAGAAGCTTAAGAACAGGTATGAGAACAACGTCCAGTTCTCCCTGCCTCAGTCTGGACACCTTCATAGTGAGAAGCTGCAAAAATTACAGATAAGTCACCTCACTATACAACTGGGACAACCGGTCGACTGCATGTTGGATATGGATGCTTCACAGTCCACTCAACACACTGGAGCATGCCAAAATCACAAGGTGGAAAAGATGAAGCAGCCTATTTTATCATCTAGGCAAACTCTCTGCCACAGCATTAAGAGCATACAGATATCACAGAGTCTACAGCACTGCACAAAGGTCACCATATAAGCACAGAGAAAAACCACAGATTTTGCTATTAGCCTTAAATGCTGCTAATATTTCTTCTACTTTTCCTGCTTTGGTAAGTAACAGCCAGTTAGACCATCATCATGTACCAAGCAATGGCAACAGATGTGAACAATAAAGGTACTGCTGTCAAGAGGCAGATGTAAGACAATTTCATAGGACTTATGAGATGGACATAATGGAAAGAGGGAGGAGAAAAAGTGGTACTTTCTCCCTTTCCTTACATGCTTATGCTTCAGGATGCCAGGAGAAGGAACAGAGACAGCACATAGTCCTGGCTCTGAATTCCCCTCACGTTGTCCTAGGCGTGAAATCCCCACAGCTCATACAGAGACGGCACAAGTGTGAGATCTGGGAAAGGACGAGGGAAGAATTTCCCGACAGCTCTCAGCCTCAGAATTGCACTGCGGTGAACTTCTCCCTCAAGAAAAGGACAGCCTGTATTTTCTAAATTATAAAAAACGTACCTCGGGACTTACATGAATTAACCATATGTATCAAAGGCCAGATCCTGGCCCTGATAAGGCTGATTTGCATTTTGCATAACAGCAGTTGGGGATTCACCTCCTAACAGAATTCTCCACAATAAAAAGGCATCAGAGCCATTTCCATATTTGCTTTCTTCCACCCCTTGCTTCAGCGCTGAGCCTACTCTAATAGGCAACAGAAACTTGCAAAGTTTCAGTGATTCCTTAACAGGCTTCAGAATAGATCAGCCCCTCACCATTCTGAGAGCTGAGGGAACACAGAGCCACCAAGTCTTATTTGGCCAGCCCCATCTTCTGCTGAACTGATAAAACTGCTGGTGGATCTGCAAGTCTTCTCTTAACACTTCTGCCTGTATTACTTTTCCCCCAAAAGACAAACCAATTTAAATTAAAGTTGTAAAGAAAATGGCGTGCCTGAGTCAACATTTTCCACTGTTCTGAAACTAAAGATCCATTTCTAATTTTAAAACTGCTGAACTTCCTACAACATATGCTCCACAGTATAAATGACTGTACAAGCTCTATACCATAATTTGCAAACTTCTGACTATTCTGCAGCCTAACCACTGGGTCACAAGGTCTGAATTCTTACCCAGGCCCTGCTTCAGAGCTAGAGCAGAATATGGGGCAAACCAGTCTTCCTACAGTATAGTTCTCTATTTGTAAAATCATACTAACAGTACCCATCCTTACTGAGATCTTAAGATAAAACTCACATCTCAGGCTGTAATGACATGCACAAAGCAAAAACCTCTACACAGTAGCTTAGCTTTGGAAAAAAAAAAAATCTTTGATTACACCTCTATTTCGGAGAATCAATTCTACTATTTAAAAAAGGGTGCCTTTAAGTGGAAAAAAATTCACACATTTTATGTCACATAACCACATCTTATTCCCCCCACCCCCCGATTTATTATTTCCATAAATTAAATAACTAACCTATATGAGAAAAGTAAGTGCCACACTGAATTCAATGGGTAGCGCCCAATACTTTTGACTTTACCTAAAGCAAATGGCACGTAGTCTCTGCGAATATCCTACTGACAACACAGATGCATTCTGCATAAACTTTATCTATGTTGTTTTCTCATCCCATATAAAATACATTGTTAGACAGAAGAATGCCTTTTGTTTGACCTTTCCAAATCTTTTCTCTTTAAGCTCAAAACCACTTAAAAACTTCACCTCCAAGACTACTTTCACAGAACTACTTCTGGAGTAGACATATGCCATATTTGAATAGCTTTCAAAGCTCAACTCTGATTTTATCAAACTGCAACTCAGTATTCAAATTACTTCCCTAACAAAACTCTCCTCCAAAAAGTTAACATCCCAAAAAAAGAAAAGCAACTGCCTTTAAAGTTAAACAAACATATTCTTTAAGTTTAGAAAACTCATGAAAACCTCAAAGATATCTTAGCAGCATCAATGATTCTATTCATCTTAGATTTTAAAAGAAGAAAACCCATTTAAGAAAAAGTTATAAATAATAATGCTATTCAAAAAAGAGTTTTAGACCATCTCTACCTGTGCAGCTCCTGTGATCATATTTGGAATGAAGTCTTTGTGGCCTGGAGCATCCATCAGTGTAATTACTTTAGTCTTTGTCTCGAATTTGGTCATACCCACATCCATTGTCACTCCCCTTAAACAAAGCATACACGCAATGCACCATTAAAATTGCTTTGAAAGCTTCATAGAGATATAAAGTAAGCTATTAAAAACACAATCACGAAATTATACACTTCATAGCTTTCATTTGATTTAGACTGCACTAAAAAATTGAAAGAAACCTGCCTGCTGGAAAAGCAGACCTCTAGAGCTGCCTTTCAGTAACTCTAGTTGTGAAGAAACAAACACTCAGCATTCACAGTACTAACTCCATGCACCCATAGACTATGTCCCAACAAGCACAGCGAGAACGTGAAAACTGTACTGCTTATTTAAATCATTACTAATTCTACTTTTAATACTTCGCTCTTCAGAAAAAGGCATCATAGAGTAACAGAAACACAGCCAAGAATAAAACAAATAGAAGGTATGGGACTATAGGCATACAGTTATACATTTGCAAAGATCCACATGCACAACTACTGATTATCAAGGAGGGATCGCAGCGCTTTGACTCAGTTCCACACCTCACTACCAACCACATGTTCTGCACAGCACATAGGATAGGATTCATCTGATCAAATGCAAACACCTGTCATGCACGTGTCTGTATCTGGGTTAGTCATCTGCATCTCCTTTTACAGACAATGAAGACAGACAGGCACTTTCAAGGGACAAAACTTCTCACATTAGCACAGATACTTAAAATATGCTACTTCCAATGACAAAAAACCCCAACAAAATAACCCCCCCAAAACCCCAAACATTTACAGATGGCTCCAGAAAGTTTTTCTTTAAAAATACAAAACTCAAAGTAAAAAGAAAACAGAACCAATCAAAAATACCAGTTCAGAAAACTCTTCCCTTAATAATTACAATTTATCTTCTGAAGAGAAGTCTGGTACCTAAATGCACAACTGTTGCATACTAAAAAATCATAGACCAAGGGATATCACTTTTAAGGCTCATGACAATTATTCGACAAACTTTACTTTCTGTTAACATTTTACTCTTTGCAGGCAATAAATACTTGTCTCTATTTCTGGTTTCACAAGTTAATTACACCCTATCAAAGGTAGTTTGTATTAATAAAATAACATACTTAATATGGTGTTTAATTATTCTATTACAGATCTGTGAAAGGAATCGATCTTCAAAGTTTGTTCATTTTACACCCAGCTACATCTACGGGGATTAAGAGAAAGACCTTTCCCTCATCAGCTTTTCCTCTTTTACACCCTTTGACTATCATGTCATGACAACACTACCACTACCGTATCATCAGCCTTAACTGACGTAAGGCTACTTTTAAAATTTGTGTTTGCTCACTTCGGGATTGTTCCCCCTCTTCCCCGTACCTGCACCCCCTCAAGTTTGTATGTGCACTTCATAAAGGAAAGGACTCACATAGGCAAAAGTTTAGCTAGATACAGGGATGCTGCAAAAGTGTATCTGCCTTTAAAAACAAGAAGTTACACACTCGATAGGGACTGCCTTACTCCATGTTCTTCAGCATCAGTTTACATTGTGAAGGTTATCTTTCCAACTGGAAGAGTTTACATGCTATGAAACCATGGGTGACAAGTGATTATAAAAATATAAACACATAAGAAAATGCCTTTTTTTATTATTTTGTGAACACAGAACATTGTGTCTTTAGCTTCCTATACAGTGTTCTTAAAAGCTCTTGCAGATTTTTTTTTTAAATTAGCTTCACTGCTTTCCCATTACATACTTTTTTCAATATGATAAAACTGAATTTTAAATTTTGTATTTCAAGTTAATAAATTAAAGGCAGCTTATAAAGAATACAAATATAATTTAATTTATAGATTTTATATTGAACGCAATGTAAGTCACATGATGAACTGACATTTCAGTGCTTAGTTTATAATTCTGATACCCTTTCAAAGAAAAATTTAACCTAGAGCTTTCCCATACAACAATAACCAAACTGAGAGGAAATTTAGCAGCAATAAACCAGTAAGGCAGCTTTAAATGAACTAAGTCGGCTACTAGAAGCATTCCCCATTGTAGTCCTACACTGCACTCCACAGCACAGAAATACGTGAAGAAATACTCAACTTCTCATTCACATTTCTTACAACCAAACGAGGATATTATTTTTTTCTTTTGATAAAATGTACTCATATAGACAAATACTTGCTAATAAGTATTGAGTAAATGTCTTTAAACATTTAGAATATTTCTACCAAAGCATTATTAGTAGATTGACATTTCCTAACAAATGCTGTTCCTTCAGGGAAAGAAGATAATTCCCATTAAAAGATATTTCTACCTTTCTCTTTCTTCACCAGTTTCATCCAAGACCCATGCATAGGCAAATGAAGCTTTGCCAGCCTTCTTAGATTCCTGTTCGTATTTGTGCATAGTTCTTTTGTTCACATTTCCCAAAAGGTAGAGCAGATGACCCATTAAAGTACTTTTACCTGCATCAACATGTCCTATGGAGGGAAATAAATATTATATCAATTTTATTAATTTATCCATTTTAAATATAGTACAAGAAGAAATATACTAACACACATGAAAATCACATGCACTAATAATGCTTATGCAATCCATAGAATTCCACAATCCTGTTAACATAGAGATACAGAGAGACAGTTTATTGACACAGTCAGTTAGCATGACCACCATACAGCACCTCCAAATTCATACTAAAAAGAACACGCTGCAAGAATGAAACCAAACCAAAGTACATTTTACTATACTGTCAGAAGGAAGCTAAGTCAACCTCACTGGCCTAGTCAAGGACATCTTGAATGTACTCCCTCCAAAGAGTAACAGTCAAGCAGATACAACTGAAAATTTTATGAGATTTCCCTTCCTTAGAGAGAGCAGTTTTGCTTCTGTATTTCCAGATTCAATCAACACAGTTTTTAATCTCTATGTTTGTCAAAAATGTAATTTAACAGTATTACCTATTACCACCAAATTAAGCAGTTGCTTTCCTCCTTGTCTCTTCTCCAACTCTGCTTTCACATCTATTTGTGGTTTTGTCTTGCTTGACTTTTTTAGTGGAGTTGGCACCGTATTCTGCTCTTCTGAAACCTGCACTACTTGGGGTGAAAGAGTAGATTGTGAGACTGCCTCAAGTACCCCAGAAGCTACACTGGCATCTTCAGTTAACAGTCCTTTCTGAGGTGTGTTAGCATGGCCATTTTCTTCAGCAATCACACTAGGGGGAAAAAAGAAAACACAAGGAATGCAAATGACAAAGAAGCTGTAGAAACATAGGAGAGAAATTGAGTTTTCCCTTTGCTATCACGTAAGCCCCAGACAAAGAGTATGTGATAAGCCCATTAAGGTAGAAGTGATAAGCAGCTGGATACAAACTGCACAGATACTAGCTCTGAACATCTTGTCTGAAAAGCACTATGTACAAAAGCAAGATAAGAAATAATCTTGTAAAATACATGAAACAGATAAACAAAAGCTTCCCACAGCCACTTGTTCTAACAGGGAGGGAAAGGACAGTTGTGCGGAACAACTACAGAGAGCTGGTCGCCTCTGAAGTAAGAGCCCAAGTCAACTTTGAAGCATCGATCCTAAACAGCTTCCACATACACTACAAGTATTGCAGCTGAACGCAGTGATGTTCTATTGCGAGAACAGCAATATAGCATAAAGAGCAGATACTAAGCATATCTGAGCTGCAATTTAAGGTGCAATGCTCCTACAGAGCCATAATAGATGAGTTACATTTATCAATACTGAGAAAATTTGTTTTATGCATAGAATAAGGCATCTAGGACTACGGAGATTTGGATTCCCCAGCTCCCCTTCTCTAACACCCTCTTCTCCCACAGATCATCATACTAATCCCAATAGTAAATAATCCTAAATATATTATTCTCTTCCACTCTCTCACTCTTTTTCTTCCTGATTTGTAAATGAGAATATTTTCCTAATTTACACAAGTGTTCTGAGAACATATAATATGATTCTTCACCTGGTATGGTGAAGATGACCACTAAAAACAAACGCTAAGTAACATCTTCAAGAGAGCAAAAGCTTTCTTACTGTCTGACAGAGCTCCATGGTGAGGCATTAACATAAGCAGCAAGACAGGAACAGAAGCAGTTATTACAGGTGTGACAACATTGTATCACAGCAAACTTCAATATACAAACCACTGACCATTACAGTATATTGAAAATACCTACAAAATACTGCATTTAAAACTTTATCCAAGGAGAAGAGGCTTCTTCCCCTGGAAAACTGGAAATCCTTTCCAATGCAGTACCACCGTGGTGCAGGCTGCTTTCTATGGAACAGATTCATGCAGGCTCTCAGACTCAAGTGTCTCCACATCCAGTGTGAATTTTTCACTCTCCATTTTCTGTTTACATACCACAATTAACTTCCCAGTTTTCCCCTTTTCAACTTCCATAAACAAAATGACTGATTTTGGTACCTCAGAATCCCACATCGTGACATGTCTGCTTTTATTTGACATTACTTCTCATTTTCTGTCTGCGTAGGAGTACTTGCATTGTATTAGTCCCTTTCCGTTACGTGTATCTCGGGAAACAATATAGTTCAAGCATGTTAGTCTACTGAACAAAGCAGCTCAAGAGTTATGATCTAAAAAATTAAATCTAGGAAATGTTCAGACTGAACGCAAAATTAGCCTCTCATTACAGCACTGAGCAACATGGGACATTTTATAGGTCTCCCTTTTTCCCCTCAGTTTCAGAACACACCTATGTAATCAGTATTCCAGCAGACTGATTGATTTTGACACCTTTTTCATAAGGCCCAAAGCCAAGTTTTTCCTCTCGACTGTGAGACCCCAAAGCAGAAATGCGAGCACGCTTTTCTTTTTACTACAGTTCCACAACCCAAGGCCAGGGTCTTGCATCAAGGCTGGATACGCACGGACATGTTTCTCAAATTAGTTAAGCAAAGAACTTAGTTATGCCAGCCATGCAGGTTGCAGGGGCACAGATAGTACCCGCGCTTCTGCATAATGGATAGACAATTCTGTATAAAGTCTATTCACAAGAACTTATCCTACCAAAATATTCTAAACCACTTGAAGGAGAAGGACAAGTTTATACCAAACTACTGCCTTAGGTCACACAGTCATGACATTTTAGATTTGACACTAAGTAACCAGCTGTACTATATCACCAAGTATAGCCTTAGACAAGCTCCAGTATATAACATAGTATTTTGACAAGCTGAATACCATTTATAAGGAGATACACTTGATTCCCTAAATTCCAAAAAGTAGTGGATCATCATTGCTTTAGATGTAGCTATGGAGCAAGGTGATTACACATGAACTATTCCACAGAAAAATAGTCACTACAGTTATTTGTGCTTTCTTTTACTGGAAAAGATTAGTGCATTTCTATAAGGCTGAACAGAAGGCTCTATTTTTTTAAATTCCTTAAATAGTACATTAAGTTCAACTGAAAATCTACTTTGGAATAGCAGAACAATCATTTTCTCCAATGCCTCTTCAGGGACATTTTACTTCATAAAAATTGACTGAAAACAAGTTGATAGAAGGCAATTATGCAGAGAATTGCAGTGACAAAGCTTTCTACACATTTTAATAACAAATTTAAAATCATCTGAATGATATAAAGTACACCAGATCATTTTTGCGTGAATCATGTATTGAGAGCCTCGTATATTTCCAATTAATTTGCATTAGACATCTTTCACCAAGATGTCTCTCTTCCATCTTTTTCCCCTTTTTCAGATAAACTTCAGTTCAGTGCCAGCGTAACATCTAGCACTTTCACAATTAAGTACTATGACTAGTGCCAATATGCAAAGGTCACACTGTAATGCAAATTTTCTTTCTTTAAATTCTCGTATTTGAAGTTCTGGAGAGAAGTAATTGTATAAGAAGCCATATCAAAGCAGCGTTTGCAGTTGGCAATAGTTTTCTCTTCTTTTCAATGTCTGCATTTCTTCCCAAACCAAGTTTTCAAAAATGAAAAAGAATTGAAAGGAAGATATTTAGATGAAGCTGCAAGTAATGTGACCCAAAACCATAACTCTCATGTTTTTCTATAGCTTTCCAAAATATATTCAAAGCTTGTCATATCAAGCCTATTAAAAGACAAAAATGTATTTTGAAAGACAGGTTATTTATAAGCTTCTAAACTCTATTTTGTTTAGCTAGGTAATGATTTTTTTTCCTAATCCCAGATGCTCAGATCTTTTTGCAGGCCAAAGCCCATGTCAATAAGGATTCCAAAAAACAGGACAGATGCTGAGTGGTAGAATTTAAACTAATTACAGCACCTGAAAGAATCACGGTTATTGCCAGATAAAATAACTACTCTCTCAATTCTAAGTAGCTTTTATTGTGACTACCACTGCTTAAGGCTGCCAAACAGTTTTTATTTTGGGTGGTGCAAAGAAAAAGTGCTAGATACAAATGAAATAATGAGTGAAACATGACTCCAGCCATCAAAACATTAGGCCTTGCTACTTTTTCAAGAATGCAATATTTGAACAGTCAGTACACTGCTCCATTTAGCGTTTTACAGGTTTTAGATATCACCATGTTTTGGAAAGCTGGAAACAACCTGTGCCATGATAAACTGAGACTTGCCATTTCAGAGGAGAAACATCAGAATGGATAGAGTGTACTATCTACTTACAGAGCATCTCTGATGAGATAATTCAGCTTTTTGCTGACCAAAGTCGGGGAAGGGGAGAGTGAGTTTATTACTACGTACCTAAACAGGAAGATGGGCAGATGAAATGTACAATTCCAGTCCCATGGAAGTACATGAAGAGAGATGCAGCAATAAGACCCTGACAATTAGTTATTCGTCATGGCAACCAGATGAGTAGTTTACTGAAAGCTTGATAGCAGCTCAGAAAAATGCTAAGGAGCTTCATCTCTAACAGTCAATGAAAAAATGAATGACATTGAAAATGCTTTTCAGTAAGCCTTTTCCACTGGGACTTGTCAAAATCATTGAAATGAAAATTTCTGTCAGAAGACAGAGCATATAGGATAGCATACTAGTACTTAGTATGTCGCTAGTGCAGGCAGCTGAGGCTATAAACAAGTCGATTGCATTAGCAAGCATCTTCAGAAGCAAAGTTCCAACTCAGTCTGAGTTACGTTGAACTACCATATCAAGAAAAAAATCATATTTGGAGGAAGAGAACTTCCTAACCAATTGTTTGCGTCTTTGTATGAGAACTTGATGGAACTACCAAAAGCAGTCTCAGTTTGCCAACATCTGTGCCTGACTGCCACATCACTGCTAGCCGCTAACTTGGAGCCATTGATTAAGCAACTCTTGACTTCTTTGGAAGGACAGAACCGTTAAGTACCTTGTACGTGCACTGAGGTCATGTACTCAAGAAAGCTTGACCACCAGCAATTCAGGCACAGGTGTCAGAAGAGCTTACCACAGCTTTTTGTTAGGAAATCAGCAGACATGCAAAAGCCTGTCAAGGACCAACATTTAGTCAAAATTAAAACTGCCAGTCAGAAACTTCCTATGTTGTCCTGCCAACAAGGACCACAAGAGTAAACTGAGTAAAATGTTAGGTTACATCACTGTTTTCTGGGGAAAATTAACAAATACAACATATGTTGTTATAAGACATGCTAGAAGACACACAATATCACACAACTGTTGAAAGGTTCACACTACCATGCATTCAAAGAAGAACCTGAAAGCTTATCTGCTGAAGATTAACGCTGCATAATTTAGCTTTTAAACATTATTTTCAATCTTCTAGTCTGGATGCTTAGTGAATTATTTTTATACAACCGACTCTTTCGGAGTACTTACAGTCATTACAGGAATGTCTACATTTATTTCCCCTTTCACAATTATTAATTACACAATATTGGTCAGGCTGGTTAAAATAATCACCCTTTTTTGCTCACAACTTCTTCTGGCTTCCTTCATGACTTAACAGGAAGAAAAGGCCTGGTAAACAGTTTTGCTAGAGCATCAGATAAACAGTTTGTCAGAAGTGAGCAAACTCCATTTTCTGTAGACAATCCCACTAAGAATATCCAGCAACAAAGGCAATTAATGCTCAAAGCAATTCATGACTTCTAACAATCCATTCATTTTAAATAAGATTCATTTATCATAATGAGGTCATACCTCATAACAAGATTGAATCATGAAGACTAAATAGCTAGTCAAAGAATGGTTATTTTTGCTAATGCTAGGCCACTGGTTTTAAAAACATGGTCCATGAATTACCTTTAAAATCCCATAAAAGGTGACAACAAAAAACTAGTTCATACATACTATACAATCACCTTCTAATGGTGTCTGCACCAACACCATACAAATATTTGGGGGTGAGAGCAGGGGGCACAGTTACAGGTGTTTTAGAATCCAAACTGCTATGAATAATTTATAACGCTGTTTTTGGTCAGTGATATAAACTATGTACTTAGAAATCTGTATTATTATAAACCCTCTGCAGTACGTTTATCAATGCAACAGTAACAAAAAGGGTCTGAAAAGAGTCAAAAGAACGAGCCTTTCTTAGGTGTTAATAAACACAGATTCATTCTGTTCCCTGACAACTCATCCTTATGCTGTCAATAATCCAGAAGATAACTGCAGACGGAAAAAACCCAACTCTGATACTCATGGAGTTCAGCCAGGGGTTCATGTTTTGCTTTGTTTTTCAAGTTTAGAAATGGATGCGTACAAAGTCATCACAAGCTTGCAAGACAATGCTAGTGCTTCAGCTAACCACAACGTATTTAGCAAACTTTACGTAGAAACTGTGGAAAGGAGCTAGTCAAGCTCCAACTGTTAGGAAAAGAATCAGGAGAGCAAATGCCACTGTCCTACAGCAGAGAAGGAAAAATATGATGCAAATACAGTTAAGGCCTCCTCCCCCATTCTTCACGTCAAGGTCCTAGTGCCTTAGCAGTGCCTCCACAGTGGCCTGTAGGACAAAAGAAGAAAGGAGGCCATCATGGATTCCCTGAAGCAGGGGTCTTTAGACATGCAGATAACTTCACTATTTAAATTGTGCTTTCTTCCATATTCATTGATTGACTGTGCTCCAGATCTCATGCTCTTTTACAAATCACTCCACTTCTTACCTACTCCTCCCACTTAAAGTTAAATGCCAATGCACATCCAATTTCTACAGCAGAAGAGGCTTGTTCTCAATTAGTATTTCAGCAGTACCACTAAATAAGTGAGGTGAATTAGAAAACATCTTCACAATATTGAGGATTTATCTAAAGGGATTACCAGCAGGTCCTGCAGGCTTAATTTTTTTTTGTCACAAAAAATAGCATGTCACTAAACTGGAAGCAAGCATGATACAAACTATTTCAGGGTCCCTGAAGAGAAGCAGAGTGGCTGAGAACCATGTTAGAGCCAACCATCTTTCCTCAGAGACTGAGTCATAAAATCATAGAATCATAGAATAGTTTGGGTTTGGAAGGGACCTCTAAAGGTCATCTAGCCCAACCCCCCTGCCACGGGCAAGGACATCTTCAACTAGATCAGGTTGCTCAGAGCCCCAGCCAACCTGACCTTGAAAGTTTCCAGGGATGGGGCATCCACCACCTCTCTGGTGGGCAACTTGTGCCAGTGCTTCACCACCATCAGCGTAAAAAACTTCTTCCTTCTATGTAGTCTAAATCTACGCCCCTTTAGTTTAAAGCCATTCCCCCTTGTCCTGGCGCAACAGGCCCTGCTAAAAAGTCTGTCCCCATCTTTTTTATAAGCCCCCTTTAAGTACTGAGAGGCTGCAATAAGGTCTCCCCGGAGCCTTCTCTTCTCCAGGCTGAACAACCCCAACTCGCTCAGCCTTTCTTCATAGGAGAGGTGTTCCATCCCCCTGATCATTTTTGTGACCCTCCTTTGGACCCGCTCCAACAGGTCCGTGTCTTTCTTGTGCTGAGGGCTCCAGAGCTGGACGCAGTACTCCAGGTGGGGTCTCACCAGAGCAGAGTAGAGGGGCAGAATCCCCTCCCTTGACCTGCTGGCCCCGCTTCTTTTGATGCAGCCCAGGATACGATTGGCCTTCTGGGCTGCGAGCGCACATTGCTGGCTCATGGCCAGCTTTTCATCCACCAGTACCCCCAAGTCCTTCTCGGCTATCCAGGACTAGCTGGCAGATCTTTTTCACTCACTTAGTGTCCACAAAAGTCCCCATGAAAAACTCCAACTTATAAGAAATGTAGTAGAAACACCAGAGATGAAGGTGCCATGACATTGATAGCAATTTCGTGATCAAGTCCAGCTGTCACACCCAGAGCCACTGATTAGTAGAGGCAAGGGGAAAAGAAAAGATTATGTTCCCTTTTATGTATCGCAAATCTCAAACAGCACAGAAAGAGGATTTTGAAAGGCCCAGAAATTTTTCATTTGGAGCTTATTGCATCTAAGTAGCTGAATGAAATGATGTCTCTTAGCAATGGCATTTAGCAGTATAAAGGGAACAATGACATCAGCTTCACACCTTGTATTAAATGTGCTTAAGAGACTAAGTAGATGTAACTACTTGCTTTCCACTCACTTATCAAACATGCACAAGATACAAATACAAATACAAATACAAGATACAAATTTTACAAATGTAAAATAAAGACCATGCTGCCCTCTTACTCCCAAAAATGCTTTCCAGATCAGAACTATAAAAATTGCTGGATGAGGTGGGGATGTTGGCACTGCTTACGCTTGCAAATTTTTTTCCTGAGGATGAACTATGGAATTTCTTGCTACAGATTAGGTGGCTATTATAAGATTGGGTTCAAAAACATAATAAGCACATCTAAGTAAGAAAAATCCATTAACCATTCCTAATAGAAACAGCCAAATTGGGAAGAAAAAAAAAATGGTGGGGAGCCACAGAATGCTACATGTAATGGTATTTCACGGACTGTATTCCCAACACGCATGCCCTGTCCTTATATATTTCTTTAAGTATTCACTGCTGGCTACTGTTGTAGGTAAACTCTGATCCAGATGTCTGTTTTCATGCTCTCACGAGACATTCCCCCAACAGTTCCAAGACAGGATAAAATTAGAACTACTGCTCAACCACTCTAATTTAGCTAAAGCATGAGGAGGACCGATTTCTTCTCTACAACAGTTGTACCCTGGACACCTGTTAAAGTTAATAAAAGCTGCAGAGGAAGGCAAAGTTTAGCTGTAAGTGATTGTTTTCCCCATAAATTATTCTTAAATGTATTACTGCCTTTGAAGAACAAGCAATTACAGTTAAGATTTATTGATTTCATAATTCCACTTAGAGAACTAAATTTAAAATAAACGAACCCCAAGAAAGTTCAGTATTCTATGAAGCGGATGTTTAAATAATCTGACTAGCTGATATCTCTCTGCACTATTCATAGTGAAAGGATTTGTTAAACTCAAAACGTGAGGTACCATCTTCTGAAAGTAATTCTGAGTCAAACAAGAAGCTGAGATGGTTAGTTCTGGAGAGTGACACTAAAACTGCTGTAAAAAATAGAAAAAAAAAGAAGAAGAAAACTTGCTACAGGTGCATCAGTCTGAAAGAAGAGCTGCTGATGTACCTTGATGTACGAGGGCTTAGCTTACCATGGAACTTCAAATCCCATAGACTGTTTCTTTCCAGACACTGTCATTTTGGTAACTTTTGGCACAATTTCAGATTCCATTCTGGCTGACTGGGAATCCCTTGTTTTTCCTAGTAATAGACAAAAAGTAAGTTTGAACTTAAGGTTATGACTAACAGGTGTTAAATATAAAGTTTAACAAATTACATTACTTCTCTTCAACCCAAAGATACCAGTCTGTGATGATGAATTCTCACACCTCAGTGTCTTACTTACATATATTACATATTTATTCAAAATAATCTACAGTTATATTTATTGTGAAAATCCCATCTGTATCTCCAAGCAGTCACGTGACACCTACACCATTCAAGAGCTTTACTCGCAGCAGTTCTGCAGGATGCCAGAAGCATTTCATGCAATACGAGGATGAAGAAACGCTTTGCAGCTGCTCACTAGCTGATTAGGTTAATGCTTATTTAGAATTTTTCTTTTGCCTTAACATTGTTGAGCCTCAAGGCTATTATAAGGTAAAAAAATATGTCTACCTCAGGTACTGCTAGCAGCAGCACAAGCCACGTGTGGGCTACCAGGCCTTCCCTGAAACCTGGAAACAGAGTTGTCTCGTACTGACTTACGCCGAAGTAGCCAACCAATACCCAAAAACTAGCTAATTTAAAGGTTATTTAGAAATAATTACCAGAGTTGAGTAACTTAATTACTTTAAAGGTATCAATTTTTACCATAACTTAAATGAAAACACAGTTACAGTAAGGTTCGTTCTTAATTGTGTGAAACTACAGTTTCACAACTAATAGCACTATAGTGTTATTAGTTTCTTGTCAAGCTGTAAAAAAAAAAAAAAAATTATTTACTCTGGGGAGGGGGAGTTTAAATAAGAGAAGTAAACTAGCTCTTTTCTTTCCACAATTCCCTCTTTAATATGTTAGGATCCCTTCTCCCTTCAAGGAAAAAGACTTCCAGCTTTACAGCGTGAGTGACAGCGGCTGTACCTTGTGTTCTGAAGGACATTATACACACAGGAAAGCAAAGTAATAACCTCAATTCAGAATTAAGCTGCAAGTTTTAAACAATCTTCACCTACAGATGTATCTGAAAACTAGAAAAATGCCACTACTCTTCCAGTAATAGACCAATTCGGATAGTCAGAGTCAAGTGAATACTTATTTTGAATAACAAGTTAATCTTTTAAGTATTTTAGATTACTACTGTAAGATGAACTGTTAAGAGTCATTTGGTCCTGCTCATTTAGGTTAACTCTTTATTGTGTTCTAAAGTATGACAGATGCGCCTTTAAAACCATAGTATCATATTGCTTTACAGGTTATATATAAAGTGGTGGTCAAGGCTGCTGAAGATTTCAGGTAAGGAAAAAGAATACCACAGGTGTGTCTATAATAGCATACCAAAAAAGCTGTTGTGCAACTTTTTCTAAACAATCACACTATAGATTGAGACATTCTTATTTAACTGATGATTTGGTCTTCATCTCCCTCATTTGTCTTATCTGCTGATAATCGTTTTATTTATATGCCACCTGGAGATCTTTGGAAGAAGTAGTCTGTATGTGTATTATTAACAGTTGCATACCAAGTACACTGTAAATAAGGAAAAACAGTAAGAGAAATAAAGGCAATGGCACAAATCATGGTTTACAATAATCACAAATTATGTAACTGACAAACAAATAGTAAAGATTCAGAATATAAAATTCCCAGATCACTGGACGAGGACTGCTAGTTAAGCACAAAGATTCTGTTTCATCTTCAAGCTCCTACATAGATCACCTACAGCATTTTTTTAGTAAGTAATCACTTCAGTCACAGTAAAAATTACATTACTTTTGTTGCCAACTTGGTATGTTTTTTCCCCACTTCAATTCTAACAATTTTCAAGCAGCCATCACTTTCAACGGCCATTTAAACATGAATGCTTTACATGTCATTTGAAAGCTTAATTACAGTTAATTCTCAGAAAATACCATGTTTGAAATCTGGCTGCTAGGAAATAATAATTACAAAAAAACACACAAAAATTGAAATGAGATTAGTTGAAAGAAACTGAGATAACAATTCATATCATATAACTTGCAACCTATTAGCAATATTTGCTACATATGATCCAGAATCAAAAGTGAAAGGTTTTACAAAATACATCTTCTCTAATCAATTTAGAAATTAAGCTTCACTCTGTACAAATACTGTTGGGGTGTTTGACACTGATCCAAAGTTAAATGTACAAGGAGACAAAATACATTCAACGAATCAACTGTTTGACACAGAAAACACAGCAATTTAAAACTAGAGATTATGAAACACTAAAAGTTGAAAGAAGATACAAAAATAAAATTACAAAGAGCAAGAGAAAGTAAAGTAATTGTCCATCGACAGCACTGACAGTTTGGGTGGTTTTTTCCTTTATTTATTTATTTTTATAAAGCACTAATACTTCAGCATAGGTGGAGCGAGGAAGCAGACCAGGATCATATAAAGACAAACCAAACCATAGAAGATAATCCTGGAATGGTGGCATTCAAATAGATGCAAAGACAACACAAGAATTGTTAGTAACACTACTGACAGAAGCGTCAAATATAGTTTTCTGACTTCAATGTTCTTATAACCAAGTACAATAAAATCAAGCAGCGCATTTGAGATAAGGATCAAGTCTGTCTTTTGTGGACTGCAGGCACCATTAAACATTAGTAATTATGGGCTTCATTACAAAGGACACAAGGCCAGAAAAGGGAGTATACTTTATTATCTAATCTATAAGGCACTGGAGAAAACTGCAGGATAAATTCTTATCTGCTTTAGCAGGCAAAGCAAAAGCTATTCAGCACTTAACAGATCATATGCAAATCCTTAAACTGCACCTTGGAACTAAAAGGAAGTCAATGCACAATGCTGATACAATTCTTAAAACACTTCTTAATCAACAAGCAGAGTATCCTACAGCAACTGAAGTGCACTACAAGCCTGGAAGAAGTATTGGAGCAGTAATCCCAATCTGATTAGGGCAAGAGCAGCTGTGAGGAAAACTAACCTCTGGAGGGAAAGGATATAAAGGATATATAAGTTTTTGCCAAGAAAGGCTTCATGAAGTTCTTCATGCTTACTGCCATTTGGACATTCTTAAACACATGCCTAAGTAATTCAATGACAATATGTTTCCTAAATCAAGAGTACACATAAAATAGACAGATACATCTTTCATAAACTCCTAAAGAAGCCCCAATTTCTCCTTGCTACATTTCACTTACTCTAGCATTGCAAAAAGCAAAAATAAGAGTGGATCGCATGCAAGTAAATGCACCGATTGGCCAACGATGTCAAACTGCAGAGCAAGAGATTTTAGTGAAGAGGACACTCCATAAAAATTCTGGCAATTCACTAACTTAACACTAGGAAAATTAAAGAACTTTTCCTTCCATGAAAGCAGAGAGTATACGTTCATAAATTATAAAAATGTAAAGGCCTGCCAGCATGATAGTTCTCACAATTCAGAATGTTTAAAAACCAAAACTTCTAGCCTATTTTAAGCAAAGTAGTTTTCAGACAGATATTTGGTATTTAGACTGCACTGACATCAGAATACCTAGACTAAAGTGTACTGTAGCTACGAGTCAAACACTATTACAAAACAAAACATGCACTGATGCACCTTGTTTCAGTATTAGATTAGGATGAGCCTAATACCAAAGGGAACAGACTCCAGTGCAACTATGGCAGCGTGTGACAATTTGACAATCAAAGCCCTCTTCCCTTTATTATTTTTCTCTTTGCTTTTACCTTCCCTGTGACTGCCAGTTGGTCTTCTGACTTAAAAGCCCTTAGTAATACTTCTTGACTAAATCAAATGACACCTGCTGTAATTTCAAAATTACTAAAAAGTACAACCCCAAAATCTGATGGCACAATAGAGTATTTGCAGACTGATAAGCAGGACACAGGCACATATATATGTAGGAAGCAAGAAAAACATAGGGACAGTCTTTAAAAATGAACAGTCTCTCTGGGTGTTCAAGCTGGAATAGCAAAACTGTATGGATATAGTCAACCATCTTCCTTTACTATAAGCAACTCTCCAGATTTTGGATTTCCTTTGTAAAAACGGTTGTAAGGAGTACCTGTAAAAGATTTAAACAAACAAACCAAAAGCTTATTTTGGCTTCTTTATCATACATAACAGGCTTGAGAAGTTCTTTTTTCAGTTTTTGTTCACAGGAAGACAAAAATTGGTCTTTCCTCTAATTCTGTTGGAGGTATGGAAGTTATGTTTCAGTACTTGGAAGAGCTGATTGTCAGTCTACTCTGTTCCCAAGTAGTTTAGAGGCGCATATAAACAACAGGAGTCTGTTAAACAACCACCATCTCAAGAAAGACATGTCGATACCAAGTGAAGCAGGGATATTGGCATATTTGGAGAAATGCATACTAGCACTGGGTATTTAAAACCACACTGGCTTAGTTCAGATGGCCATACCTTTTCAACAATAGAAACAAAATGACACCGTTTAATTCCTATAAACAGAGGTTTCTCCTCCCAATTTGTCTTCCCCTCTTGAAATTGTATAATGGCACTGAAACTTTAAGCTCAACTACACCATTACACAGAGAAGCCTGCTTCTAAGATGAACAAGACTTTTTAATATGCCTGAATTCAGCTTGAAGAATGTCAACATGTTAGGCATGTCTCAAAGTCTGTGCTTTTTCAGATGGCAATCCCATTTAAATAAATCCATGTCTACACACAAAACAACTACTAGCGGTGTAACAGCAGTGGCAAAGGAATGCACCTCCAAGGGAATTATGTGCCAATTAACTGTGGCAGGATTGCAGTTTCTTTTTCTTTATAGCTTTAAGTCATTTACATGCTTTTGAAAATTTTACTTGGTTTATATTGATTCTTCTATATTCAGAAGTGGTATGAGCCCTTAAAGAAGAAGGCTGCATACTATTTCAGTTTTGATTGGGGCTGGGGAGCCTAGATGCTATTGACATTTAATAGAATTAATTTACTTAAGCAGGTCCTCCTAGAGCTTTCTAAACCAGCGCTGCCATGCAAAAATACACATGTAACACCATGCCTTCTGATCTAGAAGATAGTT